ATTTTCTATTGAAACGAGATTTTTTTGTTTTGTAAAAGAATTACATGACTGGATTAAACATTGACTGTGACTATCTGGCGAAAACACACACACACAAATCACTGAAGCTAACACATAGAAGTGTTTCTACCTGTTAATAGGTTGGCCCCTTTCCATGAACAAGACTCGCTAGAGTCCTTCACAAAGTGAGACAGAATACAACACTAGCCATGCAAATCTCACAAAAACTGACAAATTTCGAACTGCATGAAGAAAAAAAAAAGAAAGAAAAATAGAATACAAATCTAACCGATGTTGAGAACAGCTCAGGAACGTGAGGAGCATGAACATGTGAGTGCACGATGCTATTACCTGTACTCGGTTTACGCCTTTTCACCACAGCGTCGAGGCTAGAATTGAAAGCCTTGAAAAACCTACAATCAAACATCATCGGTTGGATATAGATGAACTACTGATAAGAACGTTTTAGTACCAAACATTAGCAATTGGCAATATTTCTGCGATGACAAATTAAAACACAGTACACCTACTCAAAAATTCATGTTTTCAAAGTTTCATAGCCCGATTCCACAACAGAGGATACCAAAATGGCAGCGTCAAGAACCACTCTTCTAACATATTTAACAAAATCCAATAATTTTAGCAAGCATAAAACGAGACAATTTGGCTTAACTACCTCTGGCACTGTTGCTGGTTCTATGACAACATGCACTCCCTCTTGGAAAAAAAGAACGTTACCATTATCACTGAATTTCCTAGCGAACATGAGACGATTTCGTATAATTCTAATACAATAGTCGGTGCTAACTTAGTTCGGGGGAGGGGGGGGGGGGAGAAAGACCACGCGGTGGCGCTGTATTCCTTTGCAACTCTTAACCTTAATCATGAAGGCCGTTACTACTGTATTTCCCTGTGCCGTGACAGTTTCTACAGTAGCACCGCTAACTAAGCCTTGGAGGAAGACGGACATGGCGCCAAGTATTCCCCCTCCTGATCTACATGACTAAGATAGCACTCAACAATCCCAAAAAAATTTAACAGGCCCTTCATACCACAACTCGTAAATAGAAACAAAAGAGCAGCGTTAACATAAGACCCATCCGTTTCCTCTTGTTTGCCCCATAAACCCACCATCAGAATAAGTACAGTAAGATGACACTATTCTATCGTACTCAGAAGATTTCAAGCCAAATAAAAAATGAGTGCTTAATAACAACCTACGTTGCCAACTGCTCCTCGCTGTAGATCTGTCTGTCCCTCCACACGTTTAGTGTCTTGATCATCGCTTTGTCAAGCTCCGGCCCGGAGATCTTTGCAGCATGTCTGAAATGTAAAACTGTTATATAATACGTCCCTACATCCACATGAAATTAGAGAATACAATTTTCTAATTTGGCGAAAGTGGACATGGTCTAAAGGGAAGGATAGCAAAGGAAGGATCAAAATATAGAAATAACATCCATTTATATAATCATATGGTTTGTTCAAAAATTCCTTTGGATGCTTTGTTTACAATAGCTGTTTTACGACAAGTGAATGTTGCAAGCTCCTTAGATTAAATTACAATTCTCAAGAAAGGGCATACACTACTTATTTGGTATCAACCTTAAAGAGCCCTTTCACTGAGGGTTAGCGCGAAAGCAGAAACGTTACAAGCGCGTTTTCGGCACCTCATTTTTCTACCATAACAAAAGTAGGACTGCAGTCTAGTTGCGAGAAGAATATGTGTGGTTTTGAGAGACAAGACGTTTCTGCAAGTAACGAGCAATGCATGGAGTGTTTATGGGAATTAGGTACAGCGAATTCGACCTTGAAGAGGTGTTCGACGGAGCACTTGAACTCGATCCTTTGAGCCTGCCTCATCTCGATGCTTTCGTCTGCGCTCTCTCGCCTTATCAGCGGCTCATGACCACTGTGATCTCACACATTCAAACTTTTGCCACACTGTAATTGGCTCACCCACCTCGGAGTTCCTCCCCTTACAAGGCTTAGTCCTAGGCTCTCACCTCCTTCCTTGGATTTGGAGCCGAGCCAGGCGCCGTTCTCTAATTGTCTGTGCTCTCCGCCATTCGTGGCAGGACCATAGAGGAAAGTTCAAGTAGTCCGTAAATCTGAAGAGGCAACGCTCCCGTAGATTACCCACTGTAGATGCTGCCCATAGCAAGGCGTTGGATATGTATTACCACATGGTTGGAAGCTTAGGGTCTCAAGAATTCGAACCTAACTATTTATGGCCATTCCATGGGTTTGGCTTCATTTTGTCTTAATATCTGAAGTGTTCCTCCAGCATAACAAGAGAATTTGTGGAACAAAGGCGCAATGTGGCTCCGAGGAAGGGAGTTGGCAGCCGGGAACTTGGTGTCAGATTCACGATTATGCTCAGTTTTGAGGACTAAGCTTTGGAAGGAAAAGAGGGAATCCGAGCTGCGTAAGCAATTTTCATTCGCTCCAGAATTCGTCCCTCTGCGTTAGGCTTAGTCCTAGTGGCCCTTCGACAGAATGGTCCCCCGGAGGCATATTGAGCCTGAAACAAATGACTGACCGGAAAGCTGGTTCGAGAACAGAGTAGAACTTCACTGCCATTTCGGGGTTCTTTTTGCGGCTATTTTGAATCACGTCGTTGGCGATGTACAGCAAATTTACGATTTGGGACGAATTCGTCTCCTTTCGCACTTCCTGCAAAAATTTTCAGGTTTAACTAAAATGTTGAATCAAATACAAAACCACAGAAACCTTTAGCCATATCTGCACAATGTCGTCGGTATGCCGATGGTGATGCATTAACCACATCGACAAAGTATTGATACAGTCTTGCTGAGGCCTAAGTTTACTGAGCCGCTCTCGCATTGCCGTTTCCGAAAAGCCCGACATCTGAAAGAAAAAGCTCTGATAATCAATGCTAATATCATCAGTGAAAATCAGTGGCTAATACAACACAAAAAAGAACGGGGTCTATTCCAGTTAGGGGGGCATCATGATGCAGTTTCTCGGTGAGGTCGAACATTCCAGCTTTTCACGCATGTCAAGTGACTGCCCTCACCCCACCCCCTTAGACTGGCTACACTCCCCCTGGCTCGGAGTTACCCTAGCTTTCTGGAAAACTGCATCAT